AAATAAGGAAACAAAAAGAACTTATAAAAACAGAAGGAGAGCACTGGGGGTGGGATGAAGTAAGTGAAGAAGTATTCCAGCCTTTTCTTCTCAAGTCAATCTTTGACAAAATCTAGTCAGGATTAGTAAAGGGAAGTGAGGTAGAAGCAAATGGGATGTGGACAGCCTCTGTTCTGTTGTAGCCAGGAACATAAAACTTCGGGATCTTTTAAGCCAAAGGGGGGTCCTTTAGTCTGTTATGGGGGGTAGTACTTTTATTTCAGTCTTCAACCTTGACCCTCTCCAGTGTATCCTCCTTACAGCAGTTGGCACTGTCTTTTTTTTTTTTTTTTTTGAGACAGAGTCACGCTTTGTTGCCCAGGCTAGAGTGAGTGCCATGGCGTCAGCCTAGCTGGCTAGCAACCTCAAACTCCTGGGCTCAAGCAATCTGCTGCCTCAGCCTCCCAAGTAGCTGGGACTACAGGCATGTGCCACCATGCCCAGCTCATTTTTTCTATATATATTAGTTGGCCAATTAATTTCTTTCTATTTATCATAGAGACGGGGTCTCTCTCTTGCTCAGGTTGGTTTTGAACTCCTGACCTTGTGCAATCCGCCCGCCTTGGCCTCCCAGAGTGCTGGGATTACAGGCGGGAGCCACCACGCCCGGCCGGCACTGTCTTTTAAAGTATGAGGCAGGCTGTGTCATCCTAACCCCTCCAGTGCCACGTCACTCCTCAACCCATTTCACCCAGATAGAAACTGAAGCTTCCATGCTGCTGACAAGGCCCAACATGATCTTGCTGAACATCACTCTTGCTTCCATCTCCCCTCTCTCCTCCTGCTCATGACACCCCAACCAAGCTGGCTTCCTGGTCTCCTTGAACTTGCCAGGCACACTCTGTTTTAGGCATTGACACTTGTTTTTTTTTTTTTGAGATAAAGTCTCACTCTGTTGCCCAGGCTAGAATAAGCCGTGGCGTCAGCCTAGCTCACAGCAACCTCAAACTCCTGGGCTCAGCGATCCTCCTGCCTCAGCCTCCCAAGTAGCTAAGACTACAGGCATGTGCCACCATGTCCGGCTAATTTTTCTATATATTTTTAGTTGACCAATTAATTTCTTTCTATTTATAGTAGAGATGGGGGTCTCACTCTTGCTCAGGCTGGTCTCGAACTCCTGACATGGAGTGATCCTCCCGCCTTGGCCTCCCAGAGTGCTAGGATTACAAACATGAGCCACCTCGCCTGGCCTGACACTTGCTTTTCTATCTAAAATGTTCTTCTTCCAGATAACCACACTGCTTATTCCCCTTTCTTCTCCAGGTTTTTATTCAAATTCCCCCTTTTAATTGAGGCCTTTTCTGGCCAGGCCTGGTGGTACACACCTGTGATCCTAGCACTCTGGAAGGCCCTGGCGGGAGGATTGCTCGAGGTCAGGAGTTCGAAACCAGCCTGAGCAAGAGCAAGACCCTGTCTCTTCCAAAAATAAAAAGAAATTAGCCAGACAATGAAAAATAGAAAAAATCAGCCAGGCGTAGTGGTGTATGCCTGTAGTCCCAGCTACTCAGGAGGCTGAGGCAGGAGGATCACTTGAGCCCAGGAGTTTGAGGTTGCTGTGAGCTAGGCTGATGCCAGAGCACTCTAGCCCGGGCAACAGAGGAAGAGTCTGTCTCAGAAAAAAAAATGAGGCCTTTTCTATTTTCTTGTCTCAAATTGCAACCTCCCTGGCACTCTTACTTCCCTTCTTTGGTTTATTATTTTTTTCAGCCCTGAAAAGAGGCAAAGGAATATTTTTTTCTTAACAACGATTATTTTCTAACACATTACACATGATACTTATTTAATGTGCATATTTTCTGGCTACTCCACTAAACATAACTTGACCTTTGATGAGTGGCTTTAAAAAAAAAAACTTTTTTATTTTTGAATAATCTTAGGATTTACACAAGAGTGGCAAAGATAGAACAGAGTTCCCATAAACCCTCCACCCCGCTACCCCTAATGTTATCACCTTATACAACCATGGCACATTTATCAAAATTAATTGATGAAAACTATTCACCAAACAACAGACTTTATTTGAATTCCACACAGAGGGCTCCCAGGTGCCCAAGACTTGACTGATTTTAAAACAGAAAAGTCCCATACCTATGAGTCCCCTCAGTCCTGGGCCAACTGGGATGGTTGGTCACCCTATTCACTAGTTTTTCCACTGATGTCCTTTTTCTGTTCCAAGATTTAATCCAGAACACCACACTGCATTTAGTTGTCCTGCCTCTTTACCCTCTTATCTGCAACAGTTTCTGGGTCCTTCCTTGTCTTTCATGAGCTTGACACGTTTGAGGAGTACTGGTCAGGTATTTTTTAGAGTGTCCCTCAGCTTGGGTTTATCAGATGTTTTCCCATGATTAGATGAGGGTTATGGATTTTGAGGACAATCCAGAGTTGAAGAGGTGAATGACAGGAATTTAGCATTTTATTCATTACTATATACCCAGTGCCTATAACTGAGTGCCTGGCCCACTGTAGGTACCAAAAATTCATTTGTTGAATGAATAAGCATTACTGACTCTGCAGAAATTTCGTATTGTTTCAAAGTTTTAAAATACTAATATAAATACTATCCTACCACACATATTGTTCTGCAGCTTATTTCCTTCAAAAATATGCCCGAGGATCCATTTTAGTGTACATAGAGCTACTTTACTCTTTTACTTTTACCTTATTATTATTATTATTATTATTATTATTTTTTTTTTGAGACAGAGTCTCACTTTGTTGCCCAGGCTAGAGTGAATGCCGTGGCGTCAGCCTAGCTCACAGCAACCTCAAACTCCTGGGCTCAAGCAATCCTCCTGCCTCAGCCTCCCGAGTAGCTGGGACTACAGGCATTCGCCACCATGCCCGGCTAATTTTTTCTCTATATATTTTTAATTGGCCAATTAATTTCTTTCTATTTATAGTAGAGATGGGGTCTCGCTCTTGCTCAGGCTGGTTTCGAACTCCTGACCTCGAGCAATCCGCCCGCCTTGGCCTCCCAGAGAGCTGGGATTACAGGGGTGAGCCACCGCGCCCGGCCCTTATTATTATTTTTGAGACAGAGTCTCACTTTGTTGCCAGGGCTACAGTGCTGGGGCATCAGCCTAGCTCACAGCAACCTCCAACTTCTGGGCTCAAGCAATCCTTCTGCCTCAGCCTCCCAATTAGCTGGGACTACAGACGTGCGCCACCATGCCCAGCTAATTTTTTGTATATATATTTTTAGTTGGTCAATTAATTTCTTTCTATTTTTAGTAGAGACGGGGTCTCGCTCAGCCTGGTTTCGAACTCCTGACCTCGAGCGATCCGCCCGCCTCGGCCTCTACTTTTACCTTAGTATTAATACAAAGAACCACAGTGGTTCTTTCTATATTCCTCTTTACAGTAGACACACAGTAGGCACATTTATATGTTAATGGATACTAGTAAATATCCAACCAAAGTGGCTGAACACATTTACACTCCACCGGTGGTTAAAAGTACCCGTTTCCCTCACATCTTGTCCACGGACTAGTGATAGCAGAACTTGCAGAAGCTCAGTGACCCCTGAGCGTGCCCAGCCCCCCTCGGACTACATCTCCCAGAAGGCACCGCGGACACCCCTGCTACCTGGTCTGCCGGAAGGGACTGACCAAGCCTAAGTATCTCGGAAAGGTTGGCCAGCCTCCGCTCCTCACCTAGCTCTGCGGCTCCCGGAGCGACGGGCCTACCACTCCCACAAGCCACCGCGAACTGGACAAGCCCGCCCCACCTCCAGACTCGGCAGGGCGGGGGAGGTCCAGACTCCACTTCCCGGCAGGCAGTGCGGGCGAGGGGCGGCACTTCATTTCCCAGCAGGCTCCAGGCGGCGGGCGCCTCGGTGCCTTGTGTGGGATGTAAGCGCGGAGGTGGGCGCGGGGGACCGAGGCCAGGACTCTCCTTAGGGTTTGGGGGCGTTGGCCTGGGTGCGCCTTCCGGATGGACTCTAGAGGTCCAGGGGTGCAGTCGTAGGGAGGGGACGGGGTGGCATTGGGGGTTCTCAGCAGGGTCTTTGGGGCGCTCCCTTATCGGGGCTGGGGGTCCTGGGGTTGTGGGGGACAAGGAGGCCCCACAGCCTCAGCTGAAGGGTCTCACCGAGCAAAGAGGGGGAGCCTGTAAGCGGAGGGTGAAGGCGGGGAAGCAGGGAAGTTGTATGTGTGTTGAGGGTGGAACCTTAGCTGAGCCTGGGAGTGGGCTCCCCGGCCGAGCCTGCCCGACCCTCCCTTCCCTGGCTCGCCCGCAGGCCGCCACCCGCCGCCATGGGGCTGAAGGCCGCCCAGAAGACGCTGTTCCCGCTGCGCTCCATCGACGACGTGGTGCGCCTGTTTGCTGCGGAGCTGGGCCGTGAGGAGCCAGACCTGGTGCTTCTCTCCTTGGTGCTGGGCTTCGTGGAGCATTTCCTGGCTGTCAACCGCGTCATTCCCACCAACGTGCCCGAGCTCACCTTCCAGCCCAGCCCCGCACCTGACCCTCCTGGCGGTCTCACCTACTTCCCTGTGGCTGACCTATCTATCATCGCTGCCCTCTACGCCCGCTTCACTGCCCAGATCCGTGGCGCTGTCGACCTGTCCCTTTACCCTCGAGAGGGAGGTGTCTCCAGCCGTGAGCTGGTGAAGAAGGTCTCCGATGTCATATGGAACAGCCTCAGCCGCTCCTACTTCAAGGACCGGGCCCACATCCAGTCCCTCTTCAGTTTCATCACAGGTTGGAGCCTGACAGGTGGCAAGGGGAGAGAATGAATCCTGTCCCACCTCTTCATAACATTCCATGGTTTACAAGCCTTTTTGAGACCTGTAAACCTTGTGTAGTAGAGCAGGTGTTAGTTGTCTCTGCAGTTGGGGAAGCTGAAGCCCAAAGAGGGGAAGTGATGTGCCAGTCTCACACAGAATGACAGGGCTGGGACTGGAACCTGATCACCTGGCTCCAAATCCATTAGCCTCTCCTCTACCCCCTCAGAACCCCCACCCCTGACATTGAGCAGCCACAGGAATCATGCAGCCCAGCATGAGGCACAGAGATTGGTAGCAGATTTAGGGGGCAAGGAGACAAATTGGGCTACATTTGAGATGATTAAATGAAATAATAACTATGAGAATGTTTTAGAATGAACAGACCAGGGGCTTAATTTCAAGATTAAGATTTAGGGTTTGCAAAGAGCCTCTTTGTGCAAGCCCAGTTGACTGGCAGTCACATCCTAGTGTGCCATATTGAGAAGGAATCTGAGGCTGCTTCTGAGTTTAGCAGGAAAGAGTACAGAGATAAATTAGGAGTATCTTGGTGGGTGTGTGAAAAGGGTGTTGGCCAGAGTGTCCTGTTTTTGCTGTCCCTGTTTTAACCTAACAGGGATTAGATTATTGCACTTATTTTAAGTGCAATAAATGGGAAAATCCTTAACATCACAGAAATATATAACATGGTTGCAGAGAGAAGGGACAAGGTCAAAGTCTGGGTCAGCTACAGAAGGTCCAGAAAGGTCTCTTGTTGGGGATGGGGGTGTAAATACGGAGGGAGAGGCTTTGAATACAGTAGGGAAAAGCAAAAGGGACAGTGGGCAGGAGCATCTTCAGGGACACAGGCTTGGAGTGGGGCTGGGAGGGAGTGTGGCCCATCACTACCTGTCCCCCTTTCCCCAGGCCGAAGCACAGAGGACCCTCTTTCATTACCTCCCCCTTCCACAGGCACCAAACTGGACAGCTCTGGTGTGGCCTTTGCTGTGGTGGGGGCCTGCCAAGCCCTGGGTCTCCGGGATGTCCACCTGGCCCTGTCTGAGGATCATGCCTGGGTAGTGTTTGGGCCTAATGGGGAGCAGACAGCTGAGGTCACCTGGCATGGCAAGGGCAACGAGGACCGCAGGGGCCAGACTGTCAACGCTGGTGTGGCTGAGCGGGTATTGTGTTCTCCCAACCTTGTCCCCTAAATACTCTGCTAACTGAAGCCACCCAAAGGACTTTACTTTCTTGGGCCCCACTCCCCTCTTCCAATCACCACCTATATATATCAGGAGGGGAAGGCAGAAGAGCCCCTTCCCTGGCTGTCATTCCCTGAAGGAGACACAGGGTGGGCCATCATGAGACATTTCATCTTGTCTCCTTGAAAGAGCTGGCTGTACCTGAAAGGATCATACATGCGCTGTGACCGCAAGATGGAGGTGGCATTTATGGTGTGTGCCATCAACCCTTCCATCGACCTGCACACCGACTCCCTGGAGCTGCTGCAGCTGCAGCAGGTGAGGGCTGTGCCTGTGGGCCAGGAGTGGGCTAGGCCAGGCTGCTGACTGGACTTGCTCTGGGTCCTGGGTCAGGGGCACTTTCCCTTCCTGAGATTCAACTTCCCTTTCTGTAAAATGGGTTAGTAACTCCTGACCTGGCCTTTCCCAGGGCTAGTAGGAGAGTGGAATTGAGACATGAAAGGACTAGTTTGTGAATTCTGGTCCTTCCAACTTGGTGGGAGATCCCTGTTGGTTCTGGCCCCCACCTCTGCTTGATGGACTGAGGATCCTTCCTCTCCCCACCCCCCTAGCTCATAACTCTCTCTTTTGGCCCCTAGAAGCTGCTCTGGCTGCTCTATGACCTGGGACATCTAGAAAGGTCAGTAGGGGAAAGTGGCCAGGCTGGGCTTTGGGGGCCCAGAGGGCTAGGTGGCAGCCCGAACTTATGATCCTTTCTCAGGTACCCCATGGCACTAGGGAACCTGGCAGATCTGGAGGAGCTGGAGCCCACCCCTGGCCGGCCAGACCCACTCACCCTCTACCACAAGGTGGGGTCATCTCAGGAGAGGGCAGAAGGGAGACCCCAACAGTGGCTGGGGTCCCCTTCTGGGGATTTGGAGGGGCAGGTGAGGTGAGAACTTTGTGTGTTGAGGGTATTACCATCCAGCCCCACGTTGTATCAGATATACTGTGTGCATAATCAATGTAGTCAGAGCTGCCTGGAGGGTGTTCTGGGTTCCCCAGCCTGAGAGTGGCAGGCCCTGGATTTGTCCCTTCAGCCCTTCATTTTCTGCTGCCCCTCACTCTCCTTCCTGGAGTATAACAAGATCAAAAACAGTGGAAGCACTGAGGAGGGATTGTTAACTTGGTGGAGGTGGGGGTAGGAGGGCCATTGGCCTTGGCTTGGAAGTCTTTGGTATTTGTGTAGACGAGTATGTGGGGAAGCCTGGGTAAGAGACAGAGCTCAGAGAGTAGGCCTCTCCCCTCCCTGGGCTTGTTCTGGGTGGGCCCCACCCCTGCAGTCGGCCCCTGGCCTCAGCAAGCAGTCCTGCAGTCCCAGGGAGGAGCTGGCAGGGAGTGGGTGGGATTGGAGATGGGCAGGACTCTTTGGGTTCTTTCTTTTACCGCTTCTGGGTGTGACCTGATGGGGCATTTGTGCCAGATGAGGCAGCTGGGGGCTGCCTCCCTGAGGCTCCTCTGCCTCACCCCCCAGGGCATTGCCTCAGCCAAGACCTACTACCGAGATGAGCACATCTACCCCTACATGTACCTGGCTGGCTACCACTGTCGCAACCGCAATGTGCGCGAAGCCCTGCAGGCCTGGGCCGACACGGCCACTGTCATCCAGGAGTGAGGATCTCCCCACTAGGGCCTCCAGCTCCTCCTTTCTTCCCCCTCCACCCAGTTTCCAACCACCCTCGTCCAGCAGTGAGGCCTGGATCCTAACCCCCATCCCCTCTCCGTCCAGTCCCTAGGCAGCCAAGGCCCCCATCATCCACGAGGTAGGGACTCCTGATTAAAGCCTTCCCTCCCTCCCTCTCTCCTCCCAGTTTTTCACCACTGTCATCCAGCAGTGGGACCTCCACCTTAGCCCCATGCCCACTCCTTACTGTTGCTCTGGGCTAACGCAGACACTATCACTTTGGAGTGAAGTCCCCAACCACTCCCCCAGTCCCTGGGATGACCCAGGAAAAGAAACCTGGGCTCCATCCCCAACTAGGTCCCCGGGGGTACCCCCCATGGCAAAACCCCACAGTTCCCCACTGCTCTCACAGCTACAACTACTGCCGAGAAGATGAGGAGATCTACAAGGAGTTCTTCGAAGTGGCCAATGACGTCATCCCCAATTTGCTGAAAGAGGCGGCCAGCTTGCTGGAGGCAGGCGAGGAGCGGCCAGGGGAACAGAGCCAGGTGAAGGGCTGGTGCTCCAGTCTGTGTCCAGCCTGCCACCTGGCAGGGCTCCCCAGCCACAGGACATGGGGCTATACAAGGAAGGTGGCCCCAAGCAGAGAGCCACATTCCCTTCTGCTGTAGCTGAGGTCCTAGGCCAGGGTTTGAAGGGCAGGGAGTACTTTAGTGGTTTCTATCCTGTGCCTTCAAGTAAATGGGGTGGAAGCTCATCTCTTTCAGGGCCGAGGTCCCTCATTCAGCTTAGGGGATGGGATGGAGGTAAAGGATGGTTCCCCTTCCCCAGTCCTGGCTAAGGACTGGTTATATAAAAGATAGGAGAATCCTGGGCAAGAGTGAGACCCTGTCTCTACACAAAATTGAAAAATTAGCCAGGTGTGGGGGCTCATGTCTGTAGTCCCAGCTACCCTGGAGGCTGAGACAGGAGTTTGAGGTTGCAGTGATCTGTGATTATGCCACTGCACTCCAGCCCAGGTGACAGAGTGAGACCCTACCTCAAGAAAAAAAAAAAAAGTTCTGAGAATGTTCCCAATCTATGTTCACCTCTTCCAGAGCCAGGAATTTTTGTCTAGGTGGGGGGCCTGGCCTGTGCCCTCTGCCTAGGGACGAGTAGGGGACGCTGATCTGTGCCCTCCCTTCCCCCTTGCCCAGGGCACCCAGAGCCAGGGTTCTGCTCTCCAAGACCCTGAGTGCTTCGCCCACCTGCTGCGATTCTACGATGGCATCTGCAAATGGGAGGAGGGCAGCCCCACGCCTGTGCTGCACGTAGGCTGGGCCACCTTCCTTGTGCAGTCCCTCGGACGTTTTGAGGGACAGGTGAGGGACGGCTGTACAGGAGGGCTGGGCACTCCAGGTGGTGACAGCAGCCACAGGAGAGTCAGACCTTTGTGGCCCAGAGGCAGCATCCGTCCATCCCTTTGGGTACAGTTGAGACTCCCTAGACAGGATGGGATGGCCAAAGGCAGGGTCCTGGAGTTCCAGCCACTGGGTGGAACTCGGCCTTTCCCTCAGCTTGCTCTCTCATGGCCCAGGTGCGGCAGAAGGTGCGAATAGTCAGCCGGGAGGCCGAGGCAGCAGAGGCCGAGGAGCCTTGGGGTGAGGAAGCCCGGGAAGGCCGGCGGCGGGGCCCGCGGCGAGAGTCCAAGCCAGAGGAGCCTCCTCCACCCAAGAAGCCGGCTCTGGACAAGGGCGCCGGCCAGAATGCGGTGTCCGCAGCCCCCCGGAAGCCCACGGGGACCGTCTCAGGCACTGCCCGAGGCCCTGAAGGCGGCAGCACGACTCAGGCGCCAGCACCTGCAGCGTCGCCGCCGCCAGAGGGTCCGGTGCTCACTTTCCAGAGCGAGAAGATGAAAGGCATGAAGGAGCTGCTGGTGGCCACCAAGATCAACTCGAGCGCCATCAAGCTGCAACTCACGGCGCAGTCGCAAGTGCAGATGAAGAAGCAGAAAGTGTCTACACCCAGCGACTACACTCTTTCTTTCCTCAAGCGGCAGCGCAAGGGCCTCTGAGATACCCAGGACTTCCTAACAGCCCACCCGGCCCCAGGGCCCGCCCTCTGTCCGCATCGAGGCTCCACCCCGGTCCTCCCGCTCCGAGCCCAGGCTCCGCCTGCAGCGCTCCGTGGCCTAGGCCGGCGACCAGCTCAGGACTAGGCCCCACCCCTACCCGGAACCCAGGCTTCTGGTCCCTGGAATACAGACTACAAATCCCCTCTACCCGCGATTTAATATTCTCTCCAGCTCAGAACCGAGGACGCTGCTCCCAGAATTCCAGCAGGCTGAGTGAAAACTCACCCCAGGCCCTGATCACCTATCTTTAAAGGTCCAACCCCTGGAAACTCCGATTCCTCCTTAGAATGGAGGCGGTAACTTAGAGCCAAACCTAGAGCTACAAGTTGCTCCCAGCTCGTAGGGGCTGAGGTTTCACCCTTAACCCAAGAAGCACAGGTCCCTTCTCCAGCCCTGGAACCCAAATCCCCTCTTATCCCCTAGGAGTACATTTCTACACTTCAGAATTCCAACCCTTGGGAATCCAAGCCCCCTACCCCAAAGAACTTAAGTCCTGCTCCAGAACCTGGAAATCCTGGCTTCCTCTCCTTCCTATCCCAAGAGCCCATGATACGAAACTCTACCCCCAGCCTATGAGAATCCTGAGTCCTGCCCTCTCTCTTCCTGACCTAACTGGCTCGGGATCAGAGCAGGACCTCTCTTACGACCCTCTAGGAACCCCCCCACCCGAGGTTCAGTTCATCTCGGGGACCCTGGAGGAAATCTGCAGGGGGTTGGGAGTGGGTGAAGGGCGCCTGATCACTTCCTATTTTGTACATAGATTTATTTTTCAGTTCTGAGGAAGATAAATACATTTTGTAAAAAATCAAAACCCATGTCCGTGTTTCATCTGGGAAATTGGGGATGGGACGGGGGAGCGGGACGTTCCCTCTTTCCTCTGCCTTTTGGCTTTCTGGACTTGGGCGCTCCCTACCCATGGAGGGCGAGGAACTGGCGCATGGCTTCAGGCCCCAGGCTCCGCCCGGGCCTCGGGACTTCCCCGCGTCGCAGAGGGCCTGTCCCGCGGGCGCCTCCTCTCGGCCGCGGCCGGGGCATCCCCGGTCTGGCCCCGCCCCTGGCCCCGCCCCTGCCCCGGCGGCCTCGGAGCCACCGGCGCCCGCCCCGCCCCGCGCCGTCCCGCGCCGGCTCCGCAGCTAGCGCCTGCCCGCCAGCCGGCCCGCCCGGCGCCGGGCCATGGCGCTGCTGCGGGACGTGTCGCTGCAGGATCCGCGGGACCGCTTCGAGCTGCTGCAGCGCGTGGGAGCCGGGACCTATGGCGACGTCTACAAGGTGCGCCGGGCGGCAGGACCGGCGGGAGAGCCAGGAGGAGGCTGCCCGCTCTGCGTTCTGCCGCGGGAACCAGCCCCCAGCCCCGCCCCCTCCTCATCCCGCTTCGCCCCTCCGCCCCTGCAGGCCCGCGACACGGTCACGTCCGAACTGGCCGCCGTGAAGATAGTCAAGCTAGACCCAGGTGAGGGCCAGGCCGGGGCCTCTGCGCCGGAGGGAGGGCGGAGCGCTGGCGGGCGCGGTGTGGGGGCTGAGGACTGACATTTGAGAGCCCCTGTGAGAGACGTGCCCCAGGAGGTCCTGTCGCTTAGCACCTGTCTGGCCTGTAGGGAGGCACTCTGTGCCCATTTTGCAGATGGGGGCACTGAGTCAGCGCGACCCTTGTGCGGTTCCCCCATGATTTCTTGTGCTTTCTAGGCGACGACATCAGCTCCCTCCAGCAGGAAATCACCATCCTCCGGGAGTGCCGCCACCCCAATGTGGTGGCCTACATTGGCAGCTACCTCAGGTGAGGCTGCTTTATCCTCCGCTCCCAGGCAGCCCCCTTGTGGCCTGCTGCGTGCCCACCCCAGCTCTGTGTCCCCCCAGGAATGACCGCCTGTGGATCTGCATGGAGTTCTGCGGAGGGGGGTCCCTGCAGGAGATTTACCACGGTGAGGGCCAGGGCTCGAGGCTCCAGAGGGACACGGCCTTCCCCTCACCACCCCACCCCCACTCCAATGCAGGGGCAGGAGAGGAAAGTCTGGGCCCTGGACTTGGGCTCCTCTCCACTCCTGGCTGGCTGTGTGACCTTGAGAGAAATGCTGTCCATCTCTGGGCTCAGTATCCCAGACTGTGCTAGGAGGGAATGTGGCCAACACCTCTTTCACTTAGCAGTGCCTGCTGCTTCCCCAGCACAGGGTAGCCTGGGAGGGGCAGCATATCCTTGGCCCCCCTGCCAGCCCTCACACTTTCTGTTTCAGCCACTGGGCCCCTGGAGGAACGGCAGATTGCCTATGTCTGCCGAGAGGCACTGAAGGTAGCTGGGCCCATGAGGCACTCACCGCCCCCAATACCCAGGACCTGTGGGCCAAAAGCCCAGTTGAGCAGTGGGGGGCAGGTGGCATGGCTCAGGCAGGGCTGGCCCGAGGGGTTATGGGTCCTACAGGGAAGGGGCCCCAGCCCTGTTGCCGGAAGCAGCCCATTTCCCTCTTGGCTCAGTTACTTCCTGTTTGGGGAGAGGGGAGGAGGAAGCGGCTTGGGTGGGGGGCCCCAGTCCTGAGAGGGGGTTCAGGAGAGGGGTGATAGTGCTGGGTAGCTGCTCTCAGGGATTCCTCTTTGTCCCCAGGGCCTCCACCACTTGCATTCTCAGGGGAAGATCCACAGAGACATCAAGGTAGGGGTCTGGCCAAGGGCACCGTGGGCGGGAGGAGGAGGCTCTCGGGGCACCAGACGGGATTCTCTCTCCTCCATTCCCACAGGGAGCCAACCTTCTCCTCACTCTCCAGGGAGATGTCAAGCTGGGTCAGTACCCTGGGGACACAGGCAGGGTGAGGGTTCTGTGGGAGCCCTGGGAGTCTTAGAGAGAACCTGGATTCCAGTGCTGGGTGTCCTTGGGCAAGTCACTTTGCCGCTTGAGTCTCAGTTTCCTCATTCAGAAAATGGAACAGTACTCCTTCCTTCTAGAGGTTGGATGAGGTTGGGTCTGTGTGGAGTCTGACACGGGACAGGCACTCGGTCAGGGATACTGGGTGGTTGACCCTCTCCAGAGAGGGACCTGGCCTTGCCTTGGGCCTGTGGCAGCTGTGACTGAACCTGGGCTGCCTGCCCTGAGCCCCGCCTGGTGCATCCTGAGCCTGAACCCTGGGCGTGAGATGGCAAGGGGCAGGCAGAGGGCTGGTGAGAGCGACTGCTTCTCCCTTCAGCTGACTTTGGGGTGTCAGGCGAGCTGACGGCATCTGTGGCCAAGAGGAGGTCTTTCATCGGGACGCCTTACTGGTGAGGCTGCAGCTCTGGCAGAGGGGGCAGGGGACCACAGGTGTGGCACCCAGCCATCCCCTGTGTCACCCTACCTCTAGGATGGCTCCAGAGGTGGCTGCTGTGGAGCGCAAAGGTGGCTACAACGAGCTGTGTGACGTCTGGGCCCTGGGCATCACCGCCATTGAGTTGGGCGAGCTACAGCCCCCTCTGTTCCACCTGCACCCCATGAGGTCAGCTCAGCACTTGCCCCTTGTCTAACCCTTGTCCTGGGGACCTTGTCCCCTGACCTTGTACCCTCCACAGGGCCTTGATGCTCATGTCGAAGAGCAGCTTCCAGCCGCCCAAGCTGAGAGACAAGACTCGCTGGTGAGGGCCCACATTCCCCTCTTGGGACCCCCCCCCAGTTTTTAGCCAGGCCCCCCGGGGAGGAGGAGCTTTCTGCTGACTCCCAAGGTGCAGCCCCAAGAGCCCTCTCTGGGCTTCTGCAGACCATCTGAGCTGAGGATTCAGTGTGGACAGGAAAGAAGGGCAGAGGGTTGATGACAGAGGATCTGCTGTGTCGCAACACAGCCTTGCTCAGGCCAGCTGCCCCTGGCCTCTGCTGGCTCTTTCCTGGGGTGGGCCCAGCAGACTCCTCGGCAAGGGGGGCAGGGCAGCAGGTTGGTGGGATGCTGTGCATGAGAATTAACCTGGGTCTGGGGGTGGGGGGCTCTTGTGCCCACTAGGACCCAGAATTTCCACCATTTTCTAAAGCTGGCTTTGACCAAGAACCCCAAGAAGAGGCCAACAGCAGAGAAGCTTCTGCAGGTGGGAGGTGGAGCGGGGAAGGGGGCTCAGTGTTCAAAGTCAGGGGCCTGGAGGACAGGGACCAACCTGTTCATCCCCTCCCTCCAGCACCCATTCACAACCCAGCAGCTCCCTCGGGCCCTCCTCACACAGCTGTTGGACAAGGCCAGTGACCCCCATCTGGGAGCCCCCTCCCCTGAAGACTGTGAACTGGAGGTAAGTGAGGGGGCTGGGAAATGGGTTTTGGCTGGGCCTGATTGGAAGGCCCCAAAGGTGATGTCAGTCAAGGTCCCTTCAACTGGTACAATACCTGCACAATACCTGCTTCTCTCCAGTTGGGCCCACCCATTAAGAACCTTTCCTGTGCTGGGTCTTGCCTCCCTGTAACACCCGGGAACCCTGATAGGTCCCTGCCCTTGGGCCCAACCCGCACGGTCTTGGTCAGGCCCAACCTGACCAAGACCGTGACCCAGCTTCTTTTTGCTTTCTGTGTGATCTCTCAAAAGTTATTTGACCTTTCTGTGCCCGCTTTCCTACATGAACGTGTCATCTCATCTCTCGATAATCTCAGAGGGTTCTAGTGAAAACAACACGTTGATGTGTTCGAGACACCTAGTGTGATACCTGGTGTGAGCCAGGTGCCAGGTGTATGTCCGCCGTTTGTCCTCTCTTAGACGTATGACATGTTTCCAGACACCATTCACTCGCGGGGTCAGCATGGCCCGGCCGAGAGGACCCCCTCGGAGATCCAGTGTGAGTCTGTGGGCGGATTTGCTGTGAGGTGGGGGTTCATCCTGAGACTCCAGCCTTCTAACCTCTGTATTCTGGGCTCCCCAGTTCACCAGGTGAAATTTGGTGCCCCACGCAGGAAGGAGACAGACCCACTAAATGAGCCGGTGAGGGGCAGGCTTTGTGGGCAGGGTGGCGTGCAGGGGTGGGGTGGGTGGGGGACTCTGGGGCAGCTGGGCACCTCCAATCAAGGGAGTTTTGAAGCAGTGGCTGCCTGGGCCTCGGCCACTGTCCAGGCAGGCCTGTCCTGCCCAGGGACCCGGAGGGCTAGGGGCTCCTTCCTGGACCACGTTTCCTTCGCTCCCACAGGCTTGGTCTCTGTCTGCCTTGCTCACTGTCTCTGCTGCCCTCCTCTTTGTTTCTTTGCCCTTTTCTATCACAATTTTCTGGTCTCTCTGCCTCTCACTGTCTCTCCCAAGCCTCTTGCCTGTCGCCAGTTCCCTTTCTACCTGTCTGTCCTTGCTCTTTCCGGAAGCTCTTGACCGTCCTCTCACCTTGTCCCTCTCTCTGCCCCTCTCCGGTCTCTGCTGCGGCTTCCCCCAGTGGGAGGAGGAGTGGACGCTGCTGGGGAAGGAGGAGCTGAGCGGGTAAGTGGTGGGGAGGGAAGCTGCAGGGAGGGGTTGGGGGCAGCAGACAGGCTGACCTCTGAGCCCTTCATGCCCCTGCCCAGGAGCCTGCTGCAGTCCGTCCAGGAGGCCCTGGAGGAAAGGTGAGTGGCGGGGCCCAGGGAGGGGCATGGGCAGCTGGTCCTGGGCGCCAGTCACCTCTCACAGCTCAGCTGCCTCTGGTCTGTCCCCTACAGGAGCCTGACCATGCGGCCAGCCTCGGAACTGCAGGTGCAGGATGGAGGGAGGCTGGAGCTGGGCATGAGGACCCCCCTGCAGAGGGTGTGATGGGGTGGGGCAGGTTGCAGAGCCATGTGCTGACAGCCGGGCTGGGTCCCCAACCCTCCTGCCAGGAGCTGGACTCTCCAGACGATTCCATGGGAACCATCAAGCGGGCCCCATTCTTGGGGCCACCCCCCTCTGAGCCTGCAGCTGAGGACCCTTTATCCAGCCCTTCAGGTGAGTCCCAGGCTTGGGAGGCCAGGCAGGCCCAGGATGGGGTCTGGGCGGGGAATCATAGCCAGTCTGTGCCTACAGGAACCCTGCCCCCACCTCCACAAGGCCCTGACAGCCCTCCACTGCTGCCCACCGCCTGGGCCACGTTAAAGCAGCAGGAGGATCCTGAGGTGAGGGGTGCTGCCCAGGGGCGAGGGGTGGGTGGCAGGGACCTCACCTTGGCCCTGACCCCTTCCCTCCCTCCCAGAGGTCGTCCTGCCATGGGCTGCCCCCAACCCCCAAGGTGCACGTAAGTGTTTGCCCATGGCCCCACTGCCCTCACCCCTGCCCCTGCCCTGCCCCGCCCCTGTGTGCCCTCCCAGCGTCTCACTTCTCCATAGATGGGTGCTTGCTTCTCCAAAGTCTTCAATGGCTGCCCCCTGCGGATCCACGCTGCTGTCACCTGGATTCACCCTGTTACTCGGGGTAGGCCGGGAGCAGGAAGGGTGCAGGAGCCTGGAATCCCTCAGCTTGGGCCAGGGGGCGTGACTGACCTCTGACCTGTGCCCAAACCTGCAGACCAGTTCCTGGTGGTGGGGGCCGAGGAAGGCATCTATACCCTCAACCTGCACGAACTACACGAGGACACGCTGGAGAAGGTGAGGCCCAGCTGGCCATAGAAGGTAGAGGGCCTTGAGAGGCTCGGGTACTGACCGCCAGTCCACCTGCCCCTCTGTCACCTCCAGCTGATTTCACACCGCTGCTCCTGGCTCTACTGTGTGAACAATGTGCTGCTGTCACTCTCAGGTACAAGATGGGACTGGCAGGGAGGCAACCCCGCAGCACCCACGGCTCCTCACCCTGCCCCCCAGCACCCTCGAGCCCCTGCTTCTCTCCCTCCCTGGCAGGGAAATCCACGCACATCTGGGCCCATGACCTGCCAGGCTTGTTTGAGCAGCGGCGACTACAGCAGCAGGTTCCCCTGTCCATCCCCACCAACCGCCTCACCCAGCGCATCATCCCCAGGTCAGGGGCCCTGGTGTGCAGAGGAGTGGGAGGCAGAGGGGCAGAGCAGGGCGGAATATGGCCTTGCTGGGACTGCTGTGATTTTAGAGGGTTGCTTGCCCTCTCTGAGCCCATCTCCTCCTCCGTCAATACAGTTGACAGCCCCCCGCCAGGTTTATCGGGAGGCCAGGAGAAGGTATTGGACGTGAAAGTGCTTTGCAAATTGTGGGAGCCTGGTTGTTAGGGTATGGTGCTGGATTTGACAGTTGAACATTTACTGAGCGTGTGTGCTGTGCTTGGCTCTGTGCTGGGCATGGGGACATCGTCCAATGAGTCCTTGCTTTCAAGAAATGAGAGAGATGTGGGCCCATTACCAGATAGCCAGCCTGAGCACGAGCAAGACCCCGTCTCTACAAAAACTAGAAAAATTAACTGAGCATGGTGGCACATGCCTGTAGTCCCAGCTACTTGGGGTGAGGCAGGAGGATCGCTTAAGCCCAGGCATGTGAGGCTGCAGTAAGCTGTGATGACACCACTGCACTTGAGCCTGGGCGACAGAGTGAGACCCTCTCAAAAAAAGCACAAAACAAACAAAAAAACCACAGCCTTCCAGAAGAGATTTTGGGGGAAAAAACCCCACAGTTGATTACACTTGTAATCCCAGCCCTCTGGGAGGCCAAGGTAGGAGAATAGCTTGAGGCCAGGAGTTTGAGACCAGCCTGAGCAAGAACAAGACTCTGTCTGTACAAAAAATAGAAAAATTAGCCAGGCATAGTGGCACGCGCTTGTAGTCCGAGCTACTGGCGATGCTACAGTGAGCTGTGACGATACCACTGCACTCTAGCTAGGGTGACAGAGCGAGACTCTGTCTCAAAAAAACAAAACAAAACAAAAAAACCCACCAGACCGTTAGCACCTGGTGCTGAGGGCCAACTAGACGGGGACCTGGGAGGGGTTGGGGAGGCCTCAGAGAGGCCAGGCAAGCTCATGGAGTTTGAAAGGACATTAAGGTTTCCCGGGCAGAAGAGCTAGGAATGGCATTCCAGGCAGAGGGACCAGCGGATGCACGTAGGGGTGAATGCGTGCTCTGGGGAACTCGGGGGTGTTTGGCCTGAGGGAGGAGGCAGAGTAGCCTGAGTGGAAGCTGCACAGGTGGCGGAGTCCCTCCTTTGATGCCGGGCCCAGGATTTGGGCTTTGTCCAGCTGACGGTGGCACCGTGAGCATGTTGAAAGGATCCCAATGTGTGCTGATCAGGATTCTTCCTTTTGTAGGTGATTCAGCTCACTGGCGTCAGCACAGAAAGGGGACTTAACGACTCTTGTAACTGACAGCTCAGGACTAGGGTTAGCTTTAGACCCCACCGGATCCAGGTTTAAAATGGCACCAGCAGGAGCCTTTCTGCATGTCCTTGTGCTGCCTTCATTCACACACACACACACACACACACACACACACACACACACGCTGTCTTGTCACGTGACGGCCGCCCGCACCTGCAGGCCGTGTCCTGCTAGCTAGCAACTCAGTGGAACTAGAACCTCTGTTTCCAAGTCATTCCCACAAAAGTCCCAGAGCCCATCCTCACTGGTCTAGCTTAGGTGCATGCCTGCCCTCGCGCCAGTCACTGGGGCCAGGGGATGTGGGCACAGGTGGCCAGGCCAGGGTCACATGCTCTGCCCTGGAGCCTGGTGGAGGGAGCAGGGCTTGTCAGCCCCCCCCCCAAAGGAAAACCTCAGCCCTCTTGCCAAACGGGAAGGATGCTGGGCAAATGAAAACGAGGTACCTGCTGGCTGGCAGTGGCGACAGTGGGTGAATTGGAGAAGGGAAGGCCGGTGGAATGGCCCCAGAGGACAGAGGTTGGGCTGAGGGCTGGCGCTTGAGCAACGTGCAGGAAGTAGACCTGATGGGATCGAGCGGGGGCTGAGTGAGGGTGGTGTCAGGAGGTTGCGCAGGAAGATAACAAGCTCTGCTTTGTCACGTGCATTATGAGGTGCCGGGAGGACGTCGGAGGGAGAGTCACTCCTTCATCATTCAATGAGTATCTGCTGCTCAGCACCTCGTAGGTGCCAGGCCGTGTCCTGGGGCTTGAGATGCTCCTTATCTCCTCACCGCTGTCTCGGGAGGGAGACAGACCGTAGTGCACATGAGAAAGGAGGGTGTTCTGTGTGACGCACCAAGGTGGGCGTGCTCTGTGAAGAAGGCCAGGAGGGTGGGGTGCAGCCTGTGGTTTCAAACGGGGTGGTTGAGAAAGACCTCACTGAAAAAGTGCCGTTTGAGCAAAGACTTAGAAGAGGTGAGGAGGGAGCTCTGTGGGTACGTGAGACCAGGGCGTCCCAGGAAGAGGGGATGGCCAGTGCAAAGGCCCTGGGGCAGGAGCAGGCCTGGCCTGTTTGTGGAGCAACGAGGAAGCTGCAGAGGAAGCCATGGGCTGAGAGCTGCACGAGCTCTCTGCTGCTGCTGCTGCGTTCACCAGAGTAGAGTGAAGGGGTGAGGGGGCGGGGGAGACCCCTCAGGAGGCTGTTGGAGATGGCAGTGGCTTGGGCCAGGGTAGCAGTGAAAGAGGAGAAAATGGTCCAATTCTGCTTCTCTTTTGGAAGTTGAGCCAACAGGATTTCCTGGCAGTTGGTGGTAGGTGGAAGGGAAAGGAGTCAAGGATGGGTGATTCCAGGGTGTTTGGCCTGGGCGACGGGAAGGATGCAGCTGTCATCAGCTGTGGGTTTCAGGGGGAGCTGAATTCAATTTTGTCACATTAAGATGCTTGATATATGTGCAAGTGGGACCTCCATCCATCCGTGGCTGGGTGGGGCTGGACTCTGAGGAGGGGGTTAGCTATGGGATCAGACATTGTCATGATGGTGTGGGTTGTGGGGACCAGGGGACTGGGCGGGGAGGGCAGGGGATGCCGGGCCAGTGGCTGCTCCAGCTGGGCAGATCAGGAGGGCCAGGCCCTTCCTGTGGCGTGTTCACTCCTGGACTGCACCTGGAGCCCTGTGGCCTCGGGGCTTCCTGAGCTCAGTCCCCAGGCGAGCCTGCGCTTTGGCCCAGGACCTGCAGGAAACAGGCCCATCAGAGCCCCAACGAGTTGCAGGCAGCTTTAGGCCAGTGTTTGGGACATCGCAGAGTCACAGTGTCTGCTTTGAATGTAAAAAACAGGGAACTGGAATTGTTTGGAGAAGAAGCAAATACAAAACTATACGCCTCTGTCCCATCCGAAGACCAGTTGGGGAAACGGAGGAGCAGAACAAGGGGGGACGGAAGTGGCAGACAGACAATGTTGGCTTCCTGTCTGTGTCCTGGGAGAAGGTGCAGACAGGACCTGGGTCGCTGAGTGGAGATGGCAGGGCTGCCGACATGTAGCCCATTCCCCAGGGGAAGACAGGCTCAGAGGGTCCTCTGGGGGATTAGGGGACACTCAGTGACCAAGGCAAAGACCCTTCTGATGACCATCTCTCACCCGTCTCCCCAGGCAACAAGGGAGCCAGGCACTGGACCCTCAGGGCTGTAGCCTCAGCTGAAGAGGCAGAGGGCAGAGCCATTCGCCCTTTGAAGTCCTTTAACCTCCTTGGGCCTGTTTTCCCATCTGTGAAATGGACCATGGGCACTTGTGCAAATCTGGGAGTTGGAGCCTGCATGCTCTCATTTCTTCATGTATACCTTGCCTTCACCTTAAAAGGATTTTCAGTGACTCAGAATAGGTGGGAAAATACTAATACAGGCTGAGACCAGGTACAGTGGCTCATGCCTATAATCCTAGCACTTTGGGAGGCTGAGGTGGGAGGATCACTTGAGGCCAAGAGTTTAACACCAGCCTAGGGAACGTAGTGAGACCCCATCTCTATTTTTTTATTTTTTTTTTTTTTGAGACAGAGTCTCACTCTGTTGCCCAGGCTAGAGTGAGTGCCATGGCATTAGCCTAGCTCACAGCAACCTCAAACTCCAGGGCTCAAGCAATCCTGCTGCCTCAGCCTCCCAAGTAGCTGGGACTACAGGCATGCACCATCATGCCTGGCTAATTTTTTCTATATATATTAGTTGGCCACTTAATTTCTATTTATAGTAGAGATGGAGTCTCGCTCTTGCTCAGGCTGGTTTTGAACTCCTGACCTCGAGCAATCTGCCCGCCTCAGCCTCCCAGAGTGCTAGGATTATAGGCATGAGCTACGGCACCCAGCCTAGACCCCATCTCTATTTAAAAAAATACTAATAATACAAGCTGATAAAAGATGGCTGTCAGCACACAGGACGTGCTGGACACTGCTCTGAGTTTTTCCCCTCTGTGACCCTCTGAGATGGGCACCATTGTTATCCCCATTCTATAGAGGAAATTGTGGCATGGAGAGGTTAAGTGACTTGCACAAAATCACAGAGCTAGAGGTAATTCTGTGACCCAAAGCTCTGGACTAGACAGATGCTCTAGGTCCCCTGCCCTTCACAGGTGTTCCCTGGGCAAGGTACTCTGGCTCTCTGAGTCTCAGTCTCTCACCTGTAAATGGGAAGATGATAATGCCTGCATCATAGGGCTCTGTGGGGACCTTGCCCCCAGATGGCACCCAGACATGTGCCCTGGTTGTCACCCCTATAGGCGCTTTGCCCTGTCTACCAAGATTCCCGACACCAAAGGCTGCCTGCAGTGTCGTGTGGGTAAGAGTGGGTCAAGGAGGTTGGGCAGGGGTGGCAGTGCAGGCCTGGCCCAGTGCCAACCGCTACCTCCCGCAGTGCGGAACCCCTACACAGGCAGCACCTTCCTGCTGGCCGCCCTGCCCGCCAGCCTGCTCCTGCTGCAGTGGTACGAGCCGCTGCAGAAGTTCCTGCTGCTGAAGGTGAGGGGCGGTGGGGAGGCCCAGGGCACCTTCAGGGATCTGCGGGGAGAAGTGGAGACGTGAGCATCCCTGCTGCCCCCCAGAACTTCTCCAGCCCTCTGCCCTGCCCAGCTGGGATGCTGGAGCCACTGGTGCTGGACGGGAAGGAGCTGCCGCAGGTGTGTGTGGGGGCCGAGGGGCCCGAGGGGCCCGGCTGTCGTGTCCTGTTCCATGTCCTGCCCCTGGAGGCTGGCCTGACGCCTGACATCCTCATCCCACCTGGTGAGCAGGAGGGCGTGCGGCAGAGAGACAGATGGGAGGGAGGCAGGGGTGAGGCCCTCAAACCAGGATCCCCACAGCCTGCGGCTCCATGGAGACCTGGGGGCCTGAGTGCGCCCAGCAGCGCATGGAGCGCCCAGCCTCCCTTCAACGAGCTTCCCTAAAAAGTTTTATAGACCACAGGGCTTGGCTAAGGAAGATCTGGCCGGTGCTGCTCTGGACCAAGGCCGGAGCCTCAGGGAAGAGGCAGACTTGGCAAGGCAGGGGCAGGGGCCTCCACCCCAAGCAAGGGAGCTGCAGCTGGGAACGGGGGCTGCTAGGGAGCGGCCATGGGTGACAGAGAGGTGACAGGGACTGAGACCTCTGGGTGCCAGGTTTTCATTCTTGACCCTAAACAGCCCTGCAAGGTGGGCATCACTGTGCCTGTGTTGTGAATGAGGAATCTGAGGCTCACGGTGACTTGTCCCAGGTCACGCAGTGACTGAGTCACGAGGCCTGGTTTGCCTGACTCCGGAGCCCTCCCATGACTCCCTGGGATTACTCCCCTGCTCCCCGAGAGCCTGAGGATGGGTCACTTATCTTTCTGAGCCTCAGTTCCCCCACTGTGCAGTGAGAATTGGATTCCCAACCCCACGTGGCCACTGTGAGGCTGAAGTGTACTCGTGGCTGAGGGCTGGCTGTACTATGTCCCCTGTGTTCTCTTGGGGCCCGAGTGTGCTGGTGGCTCAGCCAGGCCCTATCTCCCTTCTCTGTCTGCAGATGGGATCTCAGGCTCGGCCCAGCAGGTGATCCAGGTGGACAGGGACACGGTCCTCGTCAGTTTTGAACGTGAGTGCCCGGGGTCAGGGCTGCGGCCAGCGGGTTGTGGGGGCGAAGGAAGCCTGGGTGAGGGAAGCTCTGCCTCCCCAGAGAGGCCTGCGCCTCCACCTACGAGCCCCTCCCCTTGCAGGCTGTGTGAGGATAGTCAACATGCAGGGTGAGCCCACGGCCACACTGGCGCCTGAGCTGACCTTCGACTTCCCCATCGAGACTGTGGGTGAGTGAGCAGAGGCGGGGGGCAGGACTTTGGCCTGGAACACGTGAGGAGGCTCAGGGGCTGGAGGCTGGGGGTAGGACAAGGAGGTGGATCCCCAGCCCCTCTCGAGAGCCAGCCTGGACACCTGAGGTCAGCCAGGACCTCTGTGGCCCAGACCTGGGTGGGTGTGGCTTGGGGTGTCAGTCTCCGCAGGGCAGGCACAGGGCTGATGGCAGCCTGGCCCCCCTAGTGTGTCTTCAGGACAGCGTGCTGGCCTTCTGGAGCCATGGGATGCAAGGCCGCAGCCTGGATACCAACGAGGTGGGTGGGGCTCAGGGACTGGCCTGCCCCTGCCCTGTGGTCCCCACCTCTCAGCACCCTTTGTCTTCCCAGGTGACCCAGGAGATCACAGATGAGACGAGGATCTTCAGAGTGCTCGGGGCCCACAGGTGGGCAGTGGCACCCCAGCCTCCCCAGAGGAGGGAGGCCGTGCCTGAGCGCCACCCGCCCTGCTCACCTCTGCTTCTCTGTCCCCTCCAGAGACATCATCCTGGAGAGCATTCCCACCGACAACCCGGGGGCACACAGCAACCTCTACATCCTCACGGGCCATCAGAGCACTTACTGAGCGGCAGGCCTGGCCAGTGGCACCCCGCCCCGCCCCATGCCTTAGTTGCAGGCCCTTTTGGGCGGAGGGGCCCCTCCCAGATAGAGGAGCCCAGGTCCCGGCTCTGCGGGGGCTGATGGGCAGAAATAATCCTGAGAAGTGTTTAGGGGCTGGGGAGGGAGGGGAACCCACCCATGCCTCTGCAATAACTGTACCAGGGGAAGCTGCTGTCGCCTCCCCCTCCCCAGGGGGCAACCCGGTCTCTAGTGCCCCAAGGCAGAGGGGGCCCTGGACCATCCATTCCACATTTGCTTTCCACTCATTCTGCCAAGAGCCTGCCCCAGCACTGTCCTGGGGAACATGGTATTTAAAAGAAAGAACTAGATTGGTATTAAAGCTGGTTTGCTTTACTCCTCTGGTCCCTCTGGGTGGGGGGAGCTGAGCCCACTGCCTCAACTCCCTCCTACCCTCCCTCTCTCCCTCTAGCACACCTTTCTGTGGCCACCAGGTACTGTGCATGCACCAGGGAAGGGTGGGGCTACCAGTGTTTTGGGGAAGCCTGGTTGGGGTAACAGGCCAGTGGCCCCACCTGCCATCTCGGCGCCACTGTTTTCCTGGGCTCCCTTGCTCAGAACTAACCCTCAGCTTTGCGGTTCAAGGCTTCTGCTATAGTTTGCAAGCCAAGGACTCATGCATATGGGGGGGGTTCTGAACAAAGGGACTCTTCATCTCACCTGGTGGCCTGTGGAAGGGCCAGCCAAGGGTGTTCCATCCAGCCTCAGAGAGGCTGCTGCCCATGGAAACAGCCTGCTATGACCTGCAACCCGGCCCAGGCCTGGGGCTGCCTTCCTGCCTCCCCCTCCTGCCTGGGTGTCAGGCCAGGAACATTAGGTCACAGCAGGAGCATCAAGTCAGACTGAGGGAAGATTAGCCTGTGTCTGTATGGCAAATACTCCTGGAGGGCGCCTGCAGTACCAGGCCCTGGGGTCACTGCCAGGATAGGGACCAGCCCCCAGGGAGGGGGCACTCTCCTTACTGGAGTCTGCATGTCAAGGGTACTTCACTGACCTTGTGCTTCACATTGTTGTTCTCCCATCTGCCACTCAGAGAGTTCCGACCCCAGGGCCCTCCAGGGCCAGGGGTCCCCCTGTTGCCCCAGGCATTGACCGGCTGCTCTTGGGCAGGGGCAGATGAGGCCAAGGAGGCAGGAGGGGAGCTGCCTTGTGGGGGGGCACACAGGCAGGGCCAGGCCTGCAGGGGTCAGTAGGAAGGCCCCAGTCAGGCCTAGAGGTGGCCCCACTATCTTCCTTCCGACATTCAAGCCAAGTGTTTGAACAAGAGCTTCCCTGCACGTAATGACGGCAGTAGATACTTGCTAAATGAATGAGGGGATGAGGGGGTGGAGGGTGGATGGCCCCCTGTGTGAACAGACTCAGTGGCTCCCATGGACGTCACATTGTCCCCTTGTCCACCAGAGCAGGGCAGAGCTCTGCCTGCTCAGACTCCTTCCTGTGACTGGGAGGGTTTCTTGGATGGAATAGGGAGCCAGACCAGGGCGGGGACAGATCTCTTGGTATTAGCCATTCACACCCATGAGACCCAAAGGAGGGTGAGAGGCACCTTCCAATTCTGGTTAGCGCCTGCCTGAATTCTGGTTTGCATCTGATGGTCCACATATGAGAGGATGGGGATACAAAATGAATTCCTTTCCAGATCTCTTGGAGGAATGCTGGGGGCAGTGGGTAGGGGTTGGCGGTAAGCTCCCATTCCTCAGAAGCCCAACAGTAGACCCCAGTGCCCTGGGGAGGGCCGGCCTGCCTGCACAGTGGCAGGCAGTAGGCAGCGCCACCTTGTGGCAGGTCTCCCAGCCCTCTGATCCTATCTGCAAGGGAGTTTGTGCGTCAGGGTGCAACGTGCCAAAGTGGGGGGCCTGTGAAAGCTAGGGCCTCTGATGAAATGTTTGCTGCCAGCAACGGCAGGCTGCGAGCCAAAGAAAGCCCAAGAGCCGGGGAATATGCACTGAGAAACTAAAACTTTAAATTTTATTTATGTATTTTTTAATAAGTAGTCCTTGCTCTACTGTACATATTTTTTTAAAATACAAAAGAGGTATATTATAAGCTTTGGTTGTGGTTAGAAAATACAAATAAATAAACAAACAAACAAAAGAGATATAGTAAATTTCCCTCTTACCCGTCCCCAGCCAACTGGGTCACAGTTATTTATGAACCCTTCTAGAAGTTTTATGCATATTTGAACAATTTTATTTTTTCCCCTTTTTTATACACATGGTAACATTCCACATACTGTACTGACCTTGCCTTTTTAAAATATATCCTGGAGAATACGAATGTATTAAATTATCACATGTATTCCCCCAAATCTCCTGGAGATCTTTCTATTATCAATGTTCCCCTTTGTTTTCTTCATAGCTGGTGGTGTTCCCTTGTGTTGGTTTCCCATAACTAATGTTAACGAACTGTCATTAGATCCCTACAGATGGAAGTTTAAGTTGTTTCTACTACTTTGATATTACAAACAACACTGCAATAAATATTCTTATGCCAATGCCACTCTGTGCAGATGCAGGTGTTTCTGTGGGATATATTCCTGCAAGTAGCATTATGGAGTCAGAGGCGGCTGCCTTTGTCATGGCAACAGCTACTGTCAAATTGCCCTCCATGGGCAGAAACCTGTGGGATGGGTCAGACCAGACACTTTAAGTCATGTTTGTGGACAAATAGGAGGGACATGGACATACCCAGGATGTCTGGGTAACTGGCCTGCGCATGGAGTCATCCTGGCTGGGATGATCAACGGAGAGCCATGATGTGTGCTTCAGGACGGCAAGGGATGTGCCACGTCCCCGTAAGATGTATGTCCAGCACCTGCTCACTGTCTGGCGCACAGGAGGCCCTCATGAATGAAGGAGACAACGTAACATGGTGGTGAAGAGATGGCCCTGGAGTCTGGCCCATGGACTGGGTGAGCCACCCCAGCTTGCTGAGCTTTATTTCCCCCAGGTGTGCCGTATCCTAAGCCAACTGCAGGGCTGTTGGGAGGACTGGAAATACTGTAATATACCTAATGCAATAACACAGATGACTCTTGGAGGTAAATTAAAACAGCAAACGGCATAAAACTACACACAGTATGATAGCATTTTATAAAGCTCAAAAACAAGCAAAACTAAAGTATTGTTTGGCAACACATGCATGTGATAAAACTCTATTAAAGATCAAGGGAAAGAAAAGCACAAAACTCAAGATGGTGGTACCTGAAAGGCGTGGGATGGGATAGGGAAGGACCCCATACCTTTACAAAGGTATGGCTGATATCTTGGCTCTCAGGTTCGGCTGTAGGTTCATGGGTGTTCAATTTATAACTCAGCTCCTAACTCAACAAGGTGCCACACATCCTTCTGTATGTATCAAATATTAGGTAATAAAATTTAATTTTAAATACTAATGTTTAACAGTAATCACTCAAAAAATAGAACTGGCTTGAAAAACAAAACTAAACAAAGATGATCCCTTCCTAAATGATGAATCTAAGTGGAAAGGAATCAAACCGGTGTTCTGCATAGAATTCTGGACAGAACCCTCTCCCTGTAGTTGCTGTCTTCTATTATTACCTTTTCTTTTTTCCAAATGTCAAGTTTCTACTTCTATATGTCTTCTATTATTATTTTAAAAACAGCTTTATTGTTTTTTTTCTTTTTTGAGACAGAGTCTTACTTTGTTGCCCAGGTAGAGTGAGTGCCGTGGAGTCAGCCTAGCTCACAGCAACCTCAAACTCCTGGGCTTGAGCGATCCTCCTGCCTCAGCCTCCCGAGTAGCTGGGACTACAGGCATGCACCACCATGCCCAGCTAATTTTTTTGTATGTATATTTTTAGTTGGTCAATTAATTTCTTTCTATTTTTAGTAGAGACAGGGTCTTGCTCAGGCTGGTTTCGAACTCCTGAGCTTGAGCAATCTGCCCGCCCCGGCCTCCCAGAGTGCTAGGATTACAGGCGTAAGCCACCGCGCCCGGCCTGTTTTTTACTGAGGTATAATTGGCACACAATAAACTGCATATGCTAAAAGTGTAGTATGTGATGGCTTTGACGTACATATGTATACACCCGTGAAACCATTAGCACAGTCAAGATAATGAGCATCCCCTTCACTCCCAGGGTTTCCCTGTGCTCCTTGGTAATCTCTCCTGCCTGCTCCCCACTGCCTCCCATCTGCAAGTAACCACTGCTTAATCTGCTGTCACTATAGACTGATTTGCATTTTCTAGACCTAGAATTTTCTACAACTAGAATCATATAGTATGTACTTCTGTTTTCTCTGGCTTCTTTCACTAAGCATAACTATTTTGAGATTCACCCATGTTGCTGCATGTACTAACAGCCATTTCTTTTTATTGCCAAGTAGTATTCCACTGTACGGATGTACCACAGTTTGTTTAGCTATTCACCTGTTGACGGGCAATGTGGACCATGTCCAGTTTTGAACTATTACAAATAAAACTGCTATGAACATTCATGTACATGTTTTTGTTGGATATATTCTTTCTCTCTCTCTCTTTTTTTTTGAGACAGAGTCTCACTTTGATGCCCAGGCTAGAGTGAGTGCCGTGGCATCAGCCTAGCCCATAGCAACCTCAAACTCCTGGGCTCAAGCAATCCTCCTGCCTAAGCCTCCCAAGCAGCTGGGACTACAGGCATATGCCACCATGGCTGGCTAATTTTTTCTATATATTTTTAGTTGGCTAATTAATTTCTTTCTATTTATAGTAGAGACAGGGTCTCGCTCTTGCTCAGGCTGGTTTCGAACTCCTGACCGCTCTGCTGTAAGTACTGGGCATAGGTAAGGTTGGCCGGACAGATGAAGCTTCCCTGCTTTTTTTTTTTTGAGACAGAGTCTTACTCTGTTGCCCTGGCTAGAGTGCCGTGGTGTCAGCCTAGCTCACAGCAACCTCAATATCCTGGGCTCAAGCAATCCTTCTGCCTCAGCCTCCCAAGTAGCTGGGACTACAGGCATACACCACCATGCCCGGCTAATTTTTTCTATATTGGATATATTCTTTCATTTCTTTTGGGTAAATACTTTGGAGTGGAAGGACTGAGTCAGATATACAAGTATATGTACTTCAACTTTTGGCCAGGGGTGGTGGCTCATGCCTGTAATACTGGTACTCTGGGAGGCCAAGGTGGGTGGATCGCTCAAGGTCAGGAGTTGGAAGCCAGCTTGAGCAAGAGCGAGACCCAGTATCTACTAAAAAGTAGAAAGAAATTAATTTGCCAACTAAAAATATAGAAAAAATATTTAAAAAATAAAATAAATAAATAAAAACGTTTTAAGAAACTACCAGCTGAATGAGGTGGCACGTGCCTGCAGTCAACAGCTACTCAGGATGATGTGGGAGGACTGCTTGAGCCCAGGAGTTCATTTCTTTTTTTTTTTTTAGAGACAGGGTCTCACTCTTGCTCAGGTTGGTTTGGAACTCCTGACCTCGAGCAATCCTCCCGCCTCGGCCTCCCAGAGTGCTAGGATTACAGGCATGAGTCACCATGCCCAGCCCAAGCCCAGGAGTTCATTTTTTTTTTTTTTATGAGGACTATTCATTGCAATAAGCCCAGGAGTTCAAATCCAGCCTTGGTAACATAGTAAGACCCCATCTGTAGTAAAAAAAAAAAAAAAAAAGTTTTAATAAATAAGAAACTGCCAAACTTTTCCATAGTGGGTGTACTGTCGGGTTTGGCAGTCTCATTCTGTGTTCTTGGTTCTTGTGGTTCTTGTTTGGTGAACATAGTGATGAACCAGGAGGGTGACATACCCTGACTTTATAGGGACAGAAGCTCCTGGGCTCAGGACCGTTCCAGACCTTTCTGCCCTGTATATCTCTTCATCTAGCTGTTCATTTGTATCCTTTATAATAAAATGGTAATTATAATTATGACACTTTCCTAAGTTCTGTGTGTCAGTCTGATAAATTATTGAACCTGAAGGAGGTTATGGGAATCAGTGGCCAAGTTGAACAGAAGTTGGACAGAAGTGAGTTCCCTAACCTGTGGGATGGATCTGTGCTAACTTCAATCTGTGCTCTTGCCAAAGAATGACCAGACACACCAAAGTAAGGCAAGCACGAGGTGAAATTAATTGAGGGGGGCAAGATAGGATTATAGATTAAGAGTTAAGGTATAGGTTTACAGAGCATGATGCATATGCCACAGATGACAACCAGACCCCTTATGATAGGAAAAGAAACCTGGGTTATAGCCTGGGTCTTGTTTTATAGTGTCAGGATAGGGACCTTCTTGTGGCTCAGATGTCATCATGGAGCCACTTTGATGGACAGTTGGGAGTTACATGACCTGAGTCTTACTGCCCATGAGCATCTCTGAAAGCCCATGCTTGGGGGCGGGAGGTGAACCACAATGTAAATTTAAGTTAATGAGATGATAATTAGCCTTAGGTTCTCCTAAGTCACCTTCCAAACTCTATTGTACCTATGCCACTTGACCCATGGGCTAGAGTCCTCTGCATTATTTTGTAGTTGGCGTGCTAAATTCTGATTGGTAGACTGGTAGGGCGTCCCCACCACCCCCAAGTATGGCAGTTTCTGGGGACAGGATTAAGGTGGCACAGCACCAAGATGGGGGCCTGAGGCCCACCCTTGTCCCTCATCCCAGGTATGTCAATTGCTCAAGGCAGCGCTAAGGCAAGACACCCACTTTCAACTCTAGAAGACCCAGAATCCCTCGCCAGCTACCTAACACTACCATTTTACGTTCCCGCCAGCACTGGAGGAGAGTTCCATTTCCTCCATCCTCATTAATGTCTGGTTTGGTCAGCCTTGTTTAATTTGTGCCATTCAAATTGGTGTGTAGTGGTACCTCACAGTGGTTGTAACTTGCATTTCCTTACTGAAAAATGATGTTGAGTATCTTTTCCTGTGCTTACTTGACATCCATAGATCTGTTTTGGTGAAGTGTCTGTTCAAATCTTATGTCCCCCCCTTTTTTTTTTTTTTTTTTTTGAGACAGAGTCTCGCTTTGTTGTCCAGGCTAGAGTGAGTGCCGTGGCGTCAGCCTAGCTCACAGCAACCTCAAACTCCTGGGCTCAAGTGATCCTTCTGCCTCAGCCTCCTGAGTAGCTGGGACTACAGGCATGCGCCACCATGCCCGGCTAATTTTTTTTTTTATATATATATCAGTTGGCCAATTAATTTCTTTCTATTTATAGTAGAGACGGGGTCTCGCTCTTGCTCAGGCTGGTTTTGAACTCCTGACCTTGAGTAATCCACCCGCCTCGGCCTCCCAAGAGCTAGGATTACAGGTGTGAGCCACAGCGCCCAGCCTTTATGTCCCCTTTGAAAAAAACCAGTTCTTTGTAAGATTTCTTGAGTTTTGAGTCTGAATACAAGTTCTTTACTAGATACGGGATTTGCATATATCTATTATGCTATGATTTCTAATTTGTACCTAAGTCACAATTAAATTCTGCTACCGATTTCACTTTGGCTCAAATAACTTTTATTTATTTTTATTTTTTAACTAATTAATTTTTTTTTTTGAGGCAGAGTCTCATTCTTGTTGCCCTGGCTAGAGTGCCGTGGCATCAGCCTAGCTCACAGCAACCTCAAACTCCTGGGCTCAAGTGATCCTGCTGCCTCAGCCTCCTGAGTAGCTGGGACTACAGGCATGCGCCACCATGCCCAGCTAATTTTTTCTATATATATTAGTTGACCAATTAATTTCATTCTATTTATATAATAGAGACGGGGTCTCGCTCTTGCTCAGGCTGGTTTCGAACTCCTGACCTCGAGCAATCCGCCCACCTGGGCCTCCCAGAGTGCTAGGATTACAGGCGTGAGCCATCGCACCTGGCCTCTTTTTATTTTTTTAGTAGAGACAGGGTCTCACTCTTGCTCAGGCTGGTCTCGAACTCCTGAGCTCAAACAATCTGCCCGCCTTGACCTCTCAGAGTGCTATAAGTCACTGTGACCGGCCTCAAATTACCTTTAATAGGAAGCTGTTAAATAAAGATGGTTGTCAGGAGAAAAAAAATGAAGGAGAAAGTATCAATACTTGGTGCATCATGGAGGCTCACTCCGTGTCAGACATCGTCACTCCTAATTCAGCTGATGTGCT